GAAAGGGAAAAGACAAAGAGTAAGATGCGAGAGAGCACGACTCGTTTTTAAAATACAAAGATCGAGAAGCGTTATCGTGAAGCGCGGGTATGCGCGAGTTTTGACTGAGTACGTGTGATATTACGTCGTGAATGAATAATCGCGTTCGATGCGAGCGAATGAACAACTAGGCTGGGAGCCTAAAAAACATAAACACAGGAGAAAAACAAAAATAACTTTGTTTTTCGTGTCTCGAGCTAGACGATATGACTGGCTTAATTGTTCATTCGCTCTCATCAAACGCGGTTATTCATTTACGACGTAATATCACACGTACTCAGTCAAAACTCGCGCATACCCGCGCTTCACGATAACGCTTCTCGATCTTTGTATTTTAAAAACGAGTCGTGCTCTCTCGCATCTTACTCTTTGTCTTTTCCCTTTCTTTTTCCAACTAAAATTTCAAATTTCTTTTTTAAAAATGTTAACCGATAAAGAAAAGATAATGCTGTTTATCGAAAATTTGGAGACCATATTAGATCATACGAAGAAGTAACTGATCTACACATTCATATCCTGATCGCAATTTTATTTCTAAATCCACCGTTCAGAAGTGATACGTTTTTACGAAACAGAAACAGTTAAAGACCAAAATCCTTTCAAGCCTCTAAATATGCCTAATAAAAAAATACTTTATTATAGGTTTTTGGAAAGCCCTTGAAATAAGTTACAAGAATATGTAATAAAACGTGGGGGGTCCAATTTAAAAAATTCAATTTAACCTTTGTATGACCTTCGTTCTCCACCCAAAGTAAAATTTTTAGCCATCATTAGGTACATTTTATTAAGCCCTACAACTTTGTTACTTACATATTTTTCGCTACAGTTGATCCTTTTCGAGATATTTGACTGTTTCCAGACTTTTTGTCAACCCTGTATGTCATTTTCTCACGCTATTGAGTTCAGTTTTGCTGTATGAAGGCGCTGCACGTCATATGTCGGTAATAGGTTTCTTTCTGTACTGTGTGTCGCGTGTGGCGTTAGTTAGACAAAAACGGACAATC